ACGTAAGCGACGCCGCCTCTTAGCTCCGAAGTTCTTGCCTCTAGACCGACAATTTTTGGAGTGAACCGGATTCCGGAGCTGAGAGGCGGTGCCGCTGCGGTGTGAACAGGAAAAACCGATACTTTTCAGGCTCCAGCTCCGAGCCGGAGCTGAAAACGCGTTGGTGTGAAAGGGGCATGAGTCACAGAAGTCAGTCACATCGACACGAAACACATTTTAAGTGAATGTTACTACACAGAGAGGAGATTCTTAGCTTTCTAATTATATCCTGATCTTCAGATAAATTAGTTAATTAGAAAGTAACTAGGTAAATATTAGGTATTGTTCTTCAGAATGTTTTTGACATATTTGTACTACTTCAGTATTTCCATCGAAAGCTACTTTATAGTACTCCACTACATTTCAGAGGTTAATATCATACCTTTTACTTGATTTAAAGTGGACCTATCATGCTATATTTGAATAATATAGTGTAGGACCATACCTATATAAGGCATATCTATACTTTTTATTTTTCAAAATACCAAACAGATCATGCATTTTAGCCATTCCTCATTTCGCTCAATTTAACACTGTCTTTGCATGGGGTGATTCTGTGAGAACAGCACCATCTACAGGCCTGGCATATGTACTACAGCGTCTCCAGCGCTTTCAAACGGCAATGTCCGTGGCTGTCTCCTCCTGATTGGTGGAGTTGGCCCAATAGCCGTCGCGCCACTTCTGTGACGTCACAGAAGTGTTCAAATCTGGATCAGTCTGTATCAGATCTGTTGCAGCCCCTTTTTAAGAGATTTGGGTATGGAGGAAAATAGAGAGGGTTGTGTTTTCTGACACTTGGTGAGTTCCCTGGAACACCGGGGACACATTCATGTATAAAAGACGTACAAAAGTGCATTTTGCATGATAGGTCACCTTTAATTTAACACTAACATGTATTTTGTGGATATAAAATATATGGTCCGAATATGGCTATAACAATATCATATTCTGACACCCAAAAATGGGTTTGTTTGAAATCAACCACTAGGTTGGAAACATAAATCCATCTCAGAATGAGCTGCTTTAACATCCAACTATTTTTGATAGAGTGGGTCACATATTGACTGTTACTTTTGGTAACTTTAACAGTTATAATATCATCTACTTGCATCAAACGTGAAATATTTCTTTAGTAACAGTTATTTAAACTCTCTAAAAGTTGTAGACAAACAGCTATACATTTAGATATTTGTGGTTTTCAACCTTCTAAAAAAAGACATCTGTGGTGGGGGCAACGCTCATAAGCCCTAGCTCTTTGATCTTTAGCTCAACCTCCCAGCCAATCAGAATCCAGACTTCTCCGTGGCAGCTGTGTGTAACTCTTACCTGGATGTGCTGCACATGGCAGAAGAGCTGGCTGAGGACAAAGAGGACCTCTTGGCAGGGAGCTGTCTCCCCCTCCTCCTCCATGTGGGACTCTTTGGACTTCAGCGGGGATTTGGACATTTTAGGATGCGTGGAGATGGTCAGAGGAGCCGAGGCAGGAAGGGGCAGCTTGGCTCTGACTGAGTTCATCACCTCCCTCACGGCGTGGGCGTATAACCTGCCGACGTGCCCCCACCCCTCAGCGGACAGCCAGTCAGAGCAGCTGGACCCACAGAGCAGCTGCAGGACCCGGAGCAGGAGGACGGACAGGCGCAGCTCGCAGGAGAACCTCCTCAGGTCCAGAAGGGGCAGGTACTCCACGTACTCCAGCGAGAAGGGGACGTAGAGGCGGGCAGAGGTGATGAGCTCCCTCAGGACCCCCAGCAGCCGTCCCCACTGGCTGACGGAGCACCAGGGCAGCGTCTGGGTCACGGCCACCAGCAGTCCTTTACTGAACATGCCCACGTGGTCGGCCCGCCGCTGGTCCAGTGAGAGGCAGGACAGCATGGTGGTCCTCAGGGAGTCTGACGCACAGCAGCACTCCATCCAGGCCAGCAGCCCGGTGCCCTGTCCGTACTGAGGCAGATCCACCCCGGACCAGTCCTACGGGGGGGGGGGGGGTCAGATGTTATCAGCAGGAATAAAGCATGGCAGAACTGAAAAAATGATGTTATCCCCTTTAGCAGTACAAATTTCACATTTCAGCTGCCACCGCAGTTACTTTCATTAATTATTGACTCTGCTAGCTGGTCTGCTGAGTCTCCAAGAACAAAGTTTCCTCAGTTTATCGTGTAAAGATTTTTGCAATACAAATGTTACTGGAGATCTTGATTCAAGCAAAACCTCATTGGTGTGAACCCTTGTGCCTCAATGGCTTGGGGAGTAACCGATACATGGAACAGGATTACGTAATGAGGATACAAAAAAAAGTTATTCTTTTCCCTTACAGTTAAAACATTTTTTTTATATTCTACTTTTAAAAAAAATGGGGATCACCAGCAGCATAACAATGTTACAATGCATATGCATTTTAATGGACGATCGGCTCCTAGGATAACTCAAAAACAAACTGTAGCTAAAGTACAGTGACCGTGGAAGATACAAATGTCCCAATTGAAGCCACATTTTATATCCAACGGCCACTCTATTTGATCTGGTTTCACTCCAGAGGCCTTGCTTTTAGATTGCAGTTTTGTAAAGTTTTTCACCAGATTGAGACGTTTTTGCCCTTTGGGGTCAATACATGCCGTTTTCCTGGTTTCCACTATTGCTGCTGTATTATGTTTTTGCTAATCATTAAAAAATCTCATTTTTTTTTATCAGGAAAACTGTGGCATTTACAGCATTAATAATAAAAGAAAATTGAAATTCTGACTGGACTGAGGCCGATTTAATTTAGATTATTATTACTACTTGCTTCAGCACCACTCAATAGGATACAGAAATATCCACAGAAGGTCATATACTGTATGGTCAACCAGTCCCAGAAGCCTTAACGTAGAGTGACCAAGAAAAGATAGAGACAAGCTGTCATTGGGTGAAGCAGCATGCACATAGAGACAGATCATCTTACCTGCTCCGGCAGATCACACACAGTCAGCAGAGAGGCAGGAACCTCGTTTTTGAAGTGATCCTCCCAGACGGGCTTGAGGTGGAAGCGAATGGTCCAGTCCAGTCTCTCCATCTTGTGGTAGAGCCAGAACAGAGCTCTGGACCAGCTGCTGGGGGACGCTGCCACCTCTGCCCCCACCAGCCGCCCCAGCCGGGTCAGCAAAGCCTCCAGCAGCTCCTTGGTGTCCATGGACCAGCGATGCACAGCGCCCTCTGGTGTCTGATCCCAGCACCTAGCAGAGGATGGAGATATATCAAAATCAAATATTATATAGAAAGTTATTAGGTATTTTTTAAACAAGAACCATGCATAACATTCAGATAAAAAAAAAGATTATATAGGGATACTTGTGTCGCGCATGCATGTGTGGAGCGAGAGAGAGAGAGAGAGAGTGAGTGAGTGAGCGTATTGTGTTTCTGGAAGTGAACAGGAGTAGCAGCAGTATAACAAAGTCACAAATATAAACAACGGCCACCTAGGAACATTGAATGTTGGACTTCATTAACCGATCCTGAAAACATTCGCTATACAGGGCAAAAGTCCTGCAGCATGCGTCCCTTACTGATATATCGGCGCATCCCTATGAAATATACCATCGTTTTCACAGTCACTGAGATCATTGAGCCACTTTGTGTAGCATTACTGAGAGCTAATATGAATGTATATGACCATTATCATTAATATATATATGCTCAACAACAGTGGTCCAAGAATTAAACCTTGTAGCGCTCCCATTGAAATGAGTGCACGCATCTTACAAACCTGAGAGTCTGGTTTAGCAGCTGGGCGAGGACATAGAGGAGGGGGAAGGGAGAGCAGCCCAACACCCAGTGAGGAGAGACAGGAGCGTCCACAGACAGAGCCGTGTGCAGGAGCTGCAGACTCAGCTCTATGTCGAAGCAGCGGTGACCTGGAGGAAAGATAAAGATTACATTAGCAATGGGTCAAACAACTACATGTGTTAAAGGTCCCATGTCATGCTTTTCTGGTTATTACCCGTCCCCTTGTGTGTTATGAAGGTTTTTCTGCATGTAAACGGTCTGCAGAGTCACAAACCCTCAAAGTACACCCTGTAGCGAGTAAAACTCTAACACAGAAAAGACCTGTCTATGCGGGGGGGGGGCAGGAGATCCAACAAGCCGTTTAGGACAGAGAGTGAATACACATCAGTGTTTCCCCTATATGTTTTCAGCAGCGGCACTGCGCCGCTGCTGAAATATGCGCGCCGCTGCTAGGGGGCGCACATTTTTTTTTTATTAAAAGAATTATAAGTGCTGCCCCCTAGCGCTCGCGGCAACTTCGAGCCACCGATACGCGGGAAAGCTGTCATTTTCAGAGCTGAAGGAAAACTGCCTGACAAGACAGACAACAGCAAGTTGAAGCAGACATAACTTTATTTGGACACAATCACCTCAAGAAGAAGGTCATAACGCCATAAATGTAAGTTATTATAATTTAAAATGTTGTTACATTTAGATTAAGTAAATTAATACTTTGATAAAAGCCTACAGTTAAGAATGAATTACATCTAGCTAACTTAGCTAGTTTGTAAGGGATAATGTGCAGCGACGCGGTCATTATGGGGAAAAGAACACCCGACAGGCTGATCAGGA